GCCACTTCATCAGTCTCAGTGAGCCCTGTCTACACACATGGACACTCCACAGACATGCGCACACACAGATGCTCGCACTCAGCTCACACACACATTCCGTACGTAGACGCGTTACACACAAAGGTTCACACACACTCACAAAGCCACTTACTCAGGTACACCCCGAAAATCACTCATTCACACATATGTACACACAGATGCACACAGGTACACACAGGCACATGCTTACATTCATGTACACAGACACTCTCACTGATGCAGCCTCACACACTCACGAGGACTCGAGCTCACACACAGGCACATGCCCACAGAGAGAAACACTCACAGGTACCTACACATAGATGCTCACACTCATGAATGCACCCTCATACACAGGCACACAATCACACACACATATACACCGCCGCCTCTCTTCCCAACACACAGTACACCTCTGCCATATTTGTGTGCCCTTCAGTGCGTTTTGTCTCTGTCCTGTCACTGATACACTGGTTTGAGGTGATGTTCTTGTCAGCCCCAGCCACTCAACTGCCAGTGTTAGTGTCTGGCACAGTGTCTCCTTGCTAGGGCTCTCAGGTTTACAGAGTATAAAATAATGTAAATGAATATCTAAATTGGTACATAGGCAGTAGGGCAGTAGAGTTATCGTCTAAGTTCCGGGAAGTCCGTTCCTACTACCAGCGTTTAAACAAGCATTTGTGAAGGGGTAGGTGTTCCAATAAATTACTGAGTTAAAAGTTAAGTTCTGTTTGTTTTTTACAAACAGTTAAGTTCTGGTTGCCTGGGGGAAAAAATACCCTTTGGGGAAGACAATTAATTTTAAGTTTTAAAGTAACAGTAGTTAAGCAATGTGCTGCAGTTTAATATCTGCTTATGTGGAGTAAGTATACTACTGCATAAATAAAAGTTATCAGCATTATCATATCTCCAGTCGAACTGACCAGAATAACATCATACATTAAAAATCACTCTTAAAGAAACCCCACTTCTCTGTTCAAAAATGGTAGACAAAGTATCTGTGTACTTTATTTAGAATGAATATCTGAGTGAGACTAAAATGGTTTCAGATCTTTCGTCTGTTGTTTTAACAGATGTTTTCTTCCATAGGTTATGATGATGGCAGACATTGCTAATGACAGAATGGCTCATTCCTTGAAGAAAGGGGGGAGTGTGTCTTCTCTAAGTAGCCATGAGTTCCGGCAGAAGGAACATCATAGGCGCATCAAAGAGTGAGTAACTGAAAGTCTAATATCTTAAGTTCAATTACTGAATTAACAGGTTCATGTTTATCAGGGGAAAAGAAAACATTTCCTTTGGGAAGTAAAAAGAGAGAAAATGGACAAGTACAAGGTTCAGGTCATCTTTGGGAGGCATATATTTTTCTTAAATATATTTTATTGATGTTTTACAGAGAGGAAGGGAGAGGGATAGAGAGTTAGAAACATCGATGCGAGAGAAACATCGATCAGCTGCCTCTTGCACACCCCCTATTGGGGATGTGTCCACAACCAAGGTACATGCCCTTGACTGGAATCGAACCCACGACCCTTCAGTCCGCAGGCCGACGCTCTATCCACTGAGCCAAACCGGTTAGGGCGGGAGGCATATTTTTTAAAAAGAAAGAGAAAGAAACTGAGGAAACATAAGTGATATGTTGTTCCCAGCAGCATTTTTTACTGTTTCAAAGACTACCCCAAAAAATCATCTACTCAAAAGAACACCATATACAATGTAGACCAGATACTTCCTACATGCCTCGTGAATTCCCATCTTCAATATTATATAAATTCATAGTTTAAGCACTTTTGCAATCAATATATACATATACAATGTATTTAGCATTATTTTATACAAATTTTATAATGTATTTCACAACCATTGTTTGTGTCCTTATAAATGGCTGCATAATACTTTGTCAGTTTATAATTCTGGTCACTTTCAGTTTGTTTCCATTATTTTTCTTTTCTACTGTATAATGCCTCTGTTTGCTTTCTTCCCAGAAGTAGAATTAGTGGGTCAAAGGGTAATAAGTATTTTTTATTGTTTTGGCTCTTGCTGCATATTGCATTTGGTCTCCTAAAGAGATAAATCAATTTTTTATATTTTCATGGCATTTCTATTTGACTGCCATTGGGAAGAAAACAAAGCAAATTATTCAGTGCAGAGGTCAATTAACTTATATGACAGCCTTTCTTTCTTAACAGTCTCATAGAATTGAAGGAGGTGGTGTAGTAATTAATCCCTGTGGTTGAGCAACAGGAGCTAGTGTGTCCTGTGGAACAAAGACCATAAGAACTGGGATAGATTTACATTAGAATTCTGAAACCAAATCTTCCTACTCTCAGAATGTATCAATGCATTTACTTAAAACTAGAGGTCCGGTGAACAAAATTCATGCACTCGGGGGGGGGGGGGGTCCTCAGCCTGGATTGTGAAAGGGTGCAGGCCAGGCTGAGGCCAGGGAGGGATGCAGGAGGTTGGCCAGTCAGGGAAGGACCACAGGAGGGCTCCAGGGCATGTCTGGCCCATCTTGCTCAGTTCCGATCTGCCAGACCCCAGCAGCAAGCTAACCTACCAGTCAAAGCATCTGCCCCCTGGTGGTCAGTGCACATCATAGCGAGCGGTTGAGCAGTCTTAGCATTCATTAGCATATTATGCTTTGATTGGTTGAATAGCTGACTGGACGAATGGACACTTAGCATATTAGGCTTTTATTATATAGGATTCTACTTTCCAAACTTGTATGCGTATATGCATAACCTTTGGACACAGACATTAGGATGATGAAGGCCTGGGGCAGGGGGCGGAGGAGTGGGAGGGGAGTAGGGTAAGGGTGAAGAAGGGAACATATGTAATACTTTCAACAATAAAGATTTAATTTAAAAAACAAATAAATAAAATTACACTTTCCAACCCTGGATATTTGTGGATTACGAGCACAATCTCTCTTTTACAGATAAGAAATACAAAGGAATCGCAGTCTTAGCATGACAGGAGTAAAGCTGGGAGAATAATTAACCTCTGTAACTTTTGCTTCTGACCCTAGGCATTTGGGCTGCTATTTCCAATATTTATGTATAAGAGTTCATAAGAGTTCTTTCAATTATTTATTTTTAAATAATTGTTAGCTTAAATTCATTTTTTAAGAAAATATTTATTATAATCTGACATAAATCATGTTCCCATGATTAATAAAAAAAAACAACTTTTCTCATCCAAAGACTAAACCAGGGGTCCTCAAACTTTTTAAACAGGGGGCCAGTTCACTGTCCCTCAGACCGTTGGAGGGCTGGACTATAGTTTTAAAAAAAACTATGAACAAATTCCTATGCACACTGCACATATCTTATTTTGAAGTAAAAAAAACAAAACAGGAACAAATACAATATTTGTATTTGCATGTGGCCCACGGGCCGTAGTTTGAGGACCCCTGGACTAAACTGTTATCCCTATTTACATACTTCATTTACCTCTTTCCTTTCAAAGCAAATTAGAAAGTCATAGAGAATCAGAGAATGGCCAAATTTGAAGAATTAGAGATCACTCTTTTTTATTGAAGTATAAACACAAACTAAAAGCAACACAAATCCAAAAATAGTTTTATCAACACATTAGAATCGATTTCTCACTAACAAATACATTTAAGTGATAATTATTTTGATATATGTTGAAGTAGGAATTTGAACTCTCAAACAAAACATTCAGAATGATCCTCTATCTACACTTTTTCTTGAAGAGCAAATGAATAGCTGCCACATGGCCTTGCAATGCAGAGCCATTTAGGAGGCAACCTCCCCAGCTCTAACTCCTGCGCAATTTCATTGTCTTCATCCCTGTCTTAGACTAGACTGCATGGTGATACTCCATGAAATCCATCGTCAGCTCGTAGAAAAATTCTGAAGGCTTAGAGGCTATGAAATGCAGACATTGTTTTGAAATTGCAGTGCTTTATGGAAAAGCATATACCTTTCATCTGAAAATTATTTCAAAACAATTTTAATAGATCAGTTTCAGTAGTATAAAGTATATCCTGAAGTATACTGTGGACCTAACACACTATCTCTTTTCCGCCCCCCAGCATCACTCCTACAGGTGGACATGATTTTTATCATTTTACTGTGAAATAACTGCCGCTTACAAGTCAAGTGATGATTTAATGACTAGGATACAGTCCTAAATCATGAGGATGGCATATGGCAGTGACTTTCAACCTTTTTCATCTCATGTACACATAAACTAATTATTAAATTCGTCAGCACACCAAAAAAATATGTTTTTGCTGATCTGACCCAAAAAAATAGGTTTAATTTTTATTCATTCACACCAGATGGTTATTGTGTTAACTGTTATTTTTTTATTTGACAATCTAGGGGAAAAGAGGTCAGTGCCCTGTGTAAATAGTCAGATATTGCTTATTTTAAACATTCTTGTGCCACACAAGAAGGAAGTCGCTGACATAGGGTCTACAGACCTTTGTCTATTTCTCTAGCACCATCTTCCCCACTGTCCTGCTAGCGTCTATGCTCCAGCCATACTCACCTCCCATGTCTATCATCCCTCAGTGCTCTGTCTCGCCTCCAGCCATTGCCTTACGTTCCTTTCCCATGGGGCACCCTTATCAGGAATATTCTTCTTACACTCTGGCTTCCTTCTCCTCCTTCAGGATTTATCTCCATCTCCGTCTATCTCTCCAGGAAGCTCTCTCTAACAATCCAACTACAGCCACTTCCACTTCCAGACTCTGTTGGACGCTCGTCCTTTCTGTTCCTGCTGCTTTCCCCTTGTACATGGTACTGTATTGGGCATGTTTGTTTGTTTGTTTGTCTGTTTGTCTATCTCGCTCATTAGATTGTGGCCTTATCTATGTGTTTATAGCAATAAACACACAGATAAGGCGGGCAAAAAAGAGTAGAATGTAGATCTACTGGGAAAGCAGGTTCTTAGGTGTGGTATAAGGTCTGCATAGATTTAACCCTGCAGCCTTGGTTTTTATGTCTACAGTCTCATACAGTGGTAACCAATGCCTAACATTGATCCCCTGGCATAATGAATACCCAAAGAGCCCTCTGAATTGTGAAAGGATGATAGAATGCATAGCCCTAGCCGGTTTGGCTCAGTGGATAGAGTATTGGCCTGTGGACGGAAGGGACCTGGGTTTGATCCCAGTCAAGGACACATCCTCGGTTGCAGGCTTCTCCCCACACGTACTTTAGTTGCAACCAATTGATGTGTTTCTCTCGCATCCATATTTCTCTCTGTCTTTCCCGCTCTCTTCCACTCTCTCTTAAAAAAAAATCAATAGAATTTATATTCAATATAATTATTGTTAACAGTTTTTAGGGTTGTGTGTTTTTATTTAAATTATATTTAATTCTAATGTGATTTTATGCTTTCTTTTTTAAAAAAGAAACTTTTTAAGCTGGATTTTACTATCTCAATATCCTAACTGTTAACACATCACATTTATTTCTATACATACATACATAGTTGTCATCATACTTTACATTTCACTTCAACAATTAATAGTAATAAGGGTGATACTAGCTGACATTTGTTGAGCCCTCACTATAACCTCACTTAAGTCTTATAGAAGGTATATTACAGAGAATGGCAAACTATGGCCCAAGGGCCAAGTTCAACCTGCTACCTGTTTTTGTATGGCCCTAGTTAAGTATGGTTATTACATGGTTAAAAAAATTAAAAGGAGAGTAATATTTTTGTCATGTGAAAATTATAAGAAACCCAAATTTCAGTATTTATAAATAATTTTTCATTGGAACATATCCATGACTTTTTATGTATGTATTGCCTCTGGCTGCTTCCCCACTAGAACTACAGAGTTGAGTAGTTGCAATGGAAATAGGTCCCACAAAGCCAAAAAAAAATTGCTATATGGAATTTTACAGAAATGTTTGCCAACCCCTGCTCTATAAGATAAATGCTATTGTCATCTCCAGTTGGCAAATGAAGAAACAGATGCTTCGAGAAGCTGAGCCTCCAAAGCTACAGAATTAGGAAGTGGCAAAATGGGCTTTTGTTTATGGTCAAGTATTCTCATTTCCTGAAAATTGGCTACCTATGTGTGACTTGCATTAACGAGCTCTTCATTCACCAGAACCTTGTTTCCCACCCATGGGTAAGAGCAGGTATTTACAATGGCACCTTTCTTGTTGGAAGCTCAGCCTTTGGCAGCCTCAAACAGTATTTGAACCGATGTGCCACTCTCACG